TTGAGACAGAGTCTCGCTCTGTCACCCAGGCTGGAGTGCAGTTGGCAAGATCTCAGCTCACTGCACCCTCCACCTCTTGGGTTCAAGCAATTCTCCTGCCTCAGCCTCCCAAGTAGCTGGACCTACAGGTATGTGCCACCATGCCCAGCTAATCTTTGTATTTTTAGTAGAGGCGGGGTTTCACCATGTTGGCCAGGCTGGTCTTGAACTCCTCACCTCAGGTGATCCACCCACCTTGGCTTCCCAAAGTGCTGGGATTATGCATGTGAGCCACTGCACCCAGCCAATATCCTCATTTTATTTGCTGAGTTGCTATGTTACAGTGTGAGTTGCCTGCCATGGATGAGTTAAGAGACACTTGAAGCACTTGCCTGCATGATAACGTGGACCACCTTCTCTCTCCCCTTGGGTCCTGTGCCCTCAGGCCCTCTTCACCCAGGCCCCGGTGGCCTCAACTGGTGGCCTCCACAAATGGATTCCTCCTCAAGCTGACCCACAGGCCTTCCTTCCAGCAAGTGGCTCGCCTGCAACCTCCTCCACACACCTGAGTCAGAGGTTATAAGTCCTTCTCTGAGGACCCCAAGGAAGGGTGATGATCTCATGTAGGTTCACTCGGATTAGGTGGCACATTCTCACAAACAAGCTGGTTTGCGCACTAAAGCAAAAAGCCACGGCTCCTGAGCATGTTTTACCATTGCCAAGTGTTGTCTGTCATGAGATGAGAGGTAAAAAAAAAAAAACAAAAAACATGTCACATCATGATTTAGCTCTAAATGACTTTTTAAGTGTATTTTTTCAGTTGACACATAATAATTGTACCTATTTATGGGTCCATAGCAATGTAATACATACAAGGTATAGTACAGGTCAGGATAACTAGCATATCCATCATCTCAAACATTTAGCATTTCTTTGTGTTGGGAACATTCAATATCCTCTTTCTAGGTACTTGGAACTATATATTATTGTTAACTATAGTCAGGCCAGGTGTGGGGGTCACACCTATAATCTCAGCACTTTGGAAGGCCAAGGTGGGAGGATTGCTTGAGCCTAGAGTTCAAGACCGGCCTGAGCAACATAATGAGACAAATCTCTACCAAAAAAATCAAAACATTTGGTTGTCATGGTGGCTAATGCCTGTAATCCTAGCACTTTGAGGGGCCTAGATGGGAAGACCTCTTTAGCTCAGGAGTTCAAGGCCAGCCTGGGCAACATAGTGATACCCTGTCTCTTTAAAAAAAAAAAAAAAATGAAAAAAACAAAACAAAAAATTAGCCAGGCATAATGGCATGCACCTATAATTCCAGCTACATGGGAGACTGAGGCACTCAACCCAGGAGGTTGAGGCTGCAGTGTACTCCAGCCCAGGCAACAGGGCAAGACCCTGTCTCAAAAAAATAAACTCTATAGCCATCCTACAGTGGTATAGAACATTAGAACTTATTCCTCCTCCTATCTATCTGTAATTTTATATCCTTTAACAAATCTTTCCTGTCCCTCTACTTCTCTACCCTTCCCAGCGTCTGGTATCCTCTGTTCTACTTTTTCCTCATGTTCCACATACTAGTAGGAACATGTGGTGCTTAACTTTCTGTTCCAAGACTATTTAACTTACAACATTCTCCAGTTCCATTCACATTGCCACACGACAGGATTTCATTCTCAAGCCGCTAGAGACACCTCACTGGGCCATTTTTTTCTCTCAAACCTCTGGGACAGTTCTAGTGGACAGTTCTCTCGAATCTCCCTGGGCTCATCCTGCACTGCATGGAGTAGGGCAGCCTGCGGACCTGCAGTGAACAGGACCTGGGGTGCCTTGACCTTGAAGCCTGGAGGTCAGAGCCCACCTCTGCCCAGGGGTCAGGGCCAGCCCACATCATGTGGACGCTGGTCAGCATCCCTGGGGCAGCGCCAGGCAAGGCCGCAGGTCTCGTCTTGCCCTCCAGGGGGAGACATTGCACACAGACAACACTGAGGAAATTGATTCCACTGCTTGTGAACCTGGCTTTGCTAAGGAGGTGAAGGTAGAGCCCATTTTCCAACCCTTGCTCCAAAAGACCCTTCTGGGCCCTCCCACGTACCTGCTCTGTCCCTTCCTGGGTGCTCTGAGGACGCTGTTCCACAAGGGGTCCCTGTGTAGCTCCCCATTCCCTCCTGACACCACCCCTGGGGAAGGTGCAGTGACCACAGGACAGTCAGCCTCACAGAGAACAGAAGCCACCTGGGACGGTCAGGAAGAACATGGACAGGCCCTGAGCCTCAGCTCAGCCAACAGACATGGAGGGGGAGGGTGCCCCTGAAGCCTTCCCCAAGGACAGCAGAGCCCAGAGACACCCACCTCCCTCCTCCACAGTCCTCTCTTCCCAGGACACCTCCCTTCACACCCAGGAGCTGCAGCTCTGCCTGAGACCCCTGGGCCTGGGTCTCTGTCCCTGGGTCAGAGGCCTGCCTGGTGAAACTACAGACAGAGGGCTGGTCCCTCCCCAGTCATCTCCCAGTAAGACCCTTTCTATCTCCCAGAGCCACCTCTCTCACCTTCCTAGAGCACTGGAGAACATGAGGAGACCTGGAAACTCACTGTGTCTCAAAGGAAGTAATTATCACATTTGGCTATGCCAGGGTTCTCTGTGTGCTGCTGAGAGACCCAAAGCCAGGACACAATAGCAGTCAGTGCTGGAGATGGGGGAATCCTCCTCCCCTGATGAGGACAGAGGTCCCATCAGCCTTGATTCTCGAAGTGTGGTCTGGGAAACCAAAATGTAAACAGAAGGGAAAGAGAAAGTAAGAACAAAAGCGGGAATGAGAGGAGAGGAAACAGAGCTTCCTCGGCACAAACCCCGCCCCAGTACACATCACCAGACAAAGCTCTGGGTCCCAGGGAGGAGGCTCAGCACAGAGGGTGGAAAAACAGCAGAGCTGACAGTCACAGCAGCTGTGCTCAAAGCATTCCTGGAGCCCAGGCTCTTCTACATAGGTGAAGACACAGCAGGCAGCAGACACCATGGGGCACCTCTCAGCCCGACTTCACAGAGTGTGTGTCCCCTGGCAGGGGCTTCTGCTCACAGGTAAGGAGAGGACTCCCTGGGAAGGGGTAAGAGGAGGGAGCACAAAGAATGGCTGGGGTCTCCTGGGGAGGATTGGGTTCTAAGAGGGGAGAGAGGGCTTCTCTTGGAGCCAAACAGGGGAGAGGACATGAAAGAGGGATAGAGATCATAAAAGGAAAGTCTCAGTGATCTGAAACTGTTAGTGAAGAAACGATCTCCCATTTTTTACCTTTTCCAAGTGAATCATCAATGAGCAATACATTTCAAAAACTGATGACAATAATCACAATTTAAGTCAGTGTGACAATTAAGGGAAAAAAATTAAAAGAGGCATTAAACAGAGCCGTGAGTCACCAACCTCAGATATTGGCAAATAAACCCTAGGACATGGAGGGCTTTGGGAATGCTCATGAGCTGATCCACAGGAGTCTGCAGCCTGTCCCAGGCACAGCGGGGCAACCAAGATCACACAACTCCCTGTCCTCATGGAGTTCTCACTCTCATGGGGAGGAAGACAGACACGCAAAGAGATCTAGAATGTGAGGTCAGGTGTTGACAAGAGCCCTGGAGGGAACAGAGCTGGAAAAGGTCAGAAACGGAAGACCCAGGGTCTCTAGAGGAGGTGTCAGGGAAGGGGTCTCCCAAGAATCCCCTGATGTGAGCAGGATCTGAGGGCAGTGGGGAGGGAGCCGTGCAGACCCCTGGGGAAGAGCATTCCAGAGAAATGACAAGGTCAGAGGCATTTAAGGGAATGGGAGTCACTCTGCTGACCTTGACCCAGTAGGACACACACACACGCACACACACACACACACACACACACACACACCCCTAAGGTAGAGGGGTGAAGAGACCTGCTCAGGACCCAGGGCCCCATCCTTCCATCCCAGTGCACAGTCCTAATATTGACTGATGCTCTCTCCTGTCTCCTAGCCTCACTTCTAACCTTCTGGAACCCGCCCACCAGCGCCCAGCTCACTATTGAATCCGTGCCATCCAATGCTGCAGAGGGGAAGGACGTTCTTCTACTCACCCACAATCTGCCCCAGAATATTAATGGCTTCAACTGGTACAAAGGGCAAAGCGTGGACGGCACCCGTCGAATTATAGGATATGTAATAGCAACTCAACTAACTACCCCAGGGCCCGCATACAGCAGCCAAGAGACAATATACCCCAATGCCTCCCTGCTGATCCAGAACGTCACCCTGAATGACACAGGATTCTACACCCTGCAAGTCATAAAGGTAGATCTTGTGAATGAAGAAGCAACTGGCCAGTTCCGTGTATACCGTGAGTATTTCCCCATGACTTCTGGGTGTTGTGGTCAGTCTGCTTCCCACACACGGGATTCTCAGGGCTGGGCTGTGCCTGTGTCCCCCTCTGCATTACATCTCATGTTAAGGTTTGAGCATTTAGTGCAGGACACACATTATGGGACAGATATCAAAATATCAAATTTCTTACCCCAGAATCCTGATCCTGCAGACATTTGCTTCAGAGGAAGGACAGTCTGATGTAGGTAACTTATGAAGGGGAGATCAGTCTCAATCTAGCCCTGCTGGGACCTTCCTGGTGAACATGTCCCCTAGAAAGACCCAGTAGGACTGAGTCAGGGTCTGGCCTGAGGGGCCTTCTGGAATACTCACAGAGAAACTCAGCCCTGGGAATCACCTGTTCCAAAAAGTTATCCCAAGGTTCCCGACTCCTGGTGACCCTGAGGAGCCTGTGCCAGGGCTAGGTTGTGGCCTCCTGGGCAGGGCTAAAACAAATACAAATACTGGCTAATACCAGTCTCTACTAAAAATACAAAAAAATTAGCCAGGTGTGGTGGCACCTGCCTGTAGTCCCAGCTATTCAGGAGGCTGAGGCAGGAGAATCACTTGAACCTGGGAGGTGGAGGTTGCAGAGAGCCGAGATTGCGCCACTGCACTCCAACCTGGGTGACAAAGTGAAACTCTGTCTCAAAAAAATGAAAAATAAAAAAAAAATAGATGCTGTTTATTTGGGCAACTCCCCTATGCAGAGCTGAGGTCAAATAATTACAAATATTTTAAGGTTCATTCACAGACCACAAGACAAGCCAAAATCATTAACCATTTATACTATTTTATGGGGGAAAACTGAGCCACATGGCAATACAATCACTATATCAAGATCACACAGACCCATAATTGGCAGATCAGAGTTACTGGAGATTTGTCTTCAAGCACAGCCTCAACCTCTCCTCTACTCAGGAGCCTTATTTGGCATCTGTGAACCCCAATACCAGAGTTGGTTTGGTTCCTTCCTTCTTAGGCATCTGCAGCCCAGAGGGGAGATCCTGGTCTGGGGAGTAAGAGCAAATGGAGAATTAACCAAGTTTTATTCTGGAACTTATTCAACAATTAGAGTCAGTGTCAGAAACGTTCAGGCCTGGTCCAGGCATGGTAGCTCACACTTGTAATCCCAGCACTTTGGGAGGCTTAGGTGAGCAGATCACTTGATGTTAGGAGTTTGAGACCAGCCTGGCCAACATGGTGAAACCCCATCTCCACAAAAAAACAAAAACCAGCGTGGTGGCACACACCTGTAATCCCAGCTACTTGGGAGACCGACGCAGGAGAATTGCTTAAACCCAGGAGGCGGAGGTTGCAGTGAGCCGAGATCGTGCCACTGCACTCCAGCCTGGGAGACAGAGCAAGACTCCATGTCAAAAAAAAAAAAAAAAAAAGAAAAGAAATATTCGGGCCTATTCCCTCAAGACCCACGCTCCTGCTCCCTGGACTTGAAATCCTGTGTTTCCTGACGTGTTGGTATCACTCCCACAGGAGGATAAAGGAAAGGACTTTCCTTTCTCTCTCCACTCACACCCTGCACCAACCAGGGTCCAACATGAGATATACACTCAGTAGTTCTTTTATGAATGAATGAATGAATGAATGAATGAATGAATGAATGATCCATAACCTCTTTAGAGACCGGATCTGGTTGCAGAATCCTAGGAGGTTCTTGCCATACCTCTCCTCATCCCTCCAGGGACTGAACCCATGTTCCATCCCCTGACCATCTGCCCCTAAAGCCACCCCAAGAACCACATCTCATGTGACTCTGGGGCTGCTCAGCTATGGGAAGGTTTTGAGGGCTCCCAGCTCCTGGTTGCTGGGGTCTCTGAGGTCACTGTAGCCCCCACTCCTCACTGTCATGGGCATCTCTGACTCTCTCTGCTCCTCCATGTCCTCATTTTCCTCTCCCTTTATTCCTCCACGCTTAGGCCTTCCCCAGACACTCCCTCTAACAAGGTTGACTGTCCTGTCACCTTCACACTCACACTGTGGCCAGGCCCACATCCCAGGCAACAGGAAAGGCAGAGAAATCAGCCGGAGCAGCTACTACCCCTGCCAGGCTCCATCATGAGCCCATGTCCCCAGGTCACCAGGAGAATGAGCTTCCACTGTGTCCCCATCCAGGGCTCTTTCCCTCAGTGAGGCCGACATGTAGAACAGGCCACAGGACAGGGATGAGCGACTCCTCCATCCACTCTCTACACTGACTCACCAAGCGGTCAGAGGCAGAAGGACAGGTCTGCAGTCCCCAAAGCCCATGGGCTCATTTCACCCATTTGACTCACAACTCCATCCCCGTCCTGCTGTGGGCTCACATCTTCTAGTGGTTCCTGGGACCTTCCCCAGGTGGAGCTGGCCAGGTGGGTGCTATCTGATGGGTTTGCTGCCCATTCCACATACATCTGTGTCCTCACAATGACAACACTGTCATAAGGCGGGGTCCCTTGAACAGGGAGATGCACCAACCACTGTTGTCTCACTTAGACTCTGCCCAATTTGGACAAATTTGGTCAAACTCTAATTGTGTTTCCTGAGGGCGAGAGAAAAGGAAGAAAATATTTCACATGACTATTTTGGGCTCCTCTTCTATTCACCTGAATCTCCACAGGAATTTGTAACACAGAACTTTCTAAATTTACTAACATTACATACGTCACTTCTCCTCATATGGCTTCGTTTCTTTATGTAATTGAGAACCTTCAGATGTCCCTTCTGACAAGTTCTGTCTTCCTAACAGGATCCGTGAGTCCCCTCTACCCAGGAGTCACTAATTTCAAACTGACTTCAGCATTTTTCTTTGATCATAACATGATCCTACTGGACTTTAGAGCTTGGTTTAAGAATTTATCATGTTCTCTAGGGAAATATTCCTCCCAGTAGTGGGTCTTAGATCCAGGGTATTAATAACAATTTTCACATATGGAAGAATTTAACTTCTCAAATGTATATCCCAGATCTACCAAACACACACGGTCCACGAGGGTCCAATTTTCAGCAAGTTCATGCTCCTTCCATTTCACCAACGGTTATTCTGCATTTGCAAAAACCCCACACAATTCAGAAAACATCCACCGCATCCTCACCTGGCCTCTTCAGGGGGAGAAGGGACATTAAAGACCAAAGACAAAGAACATAGTTATGCTATTAAATCCAGGCAGCTCCTGCCTGTCACCTCACTCTTTTCTACATCATTCCTTGGACTCTATCTTTAGGGGTCACTGGCTCAAGTCAGTCATCATCAGACACCTGGGAAAAACTGCCCCACCTTGTGGTTCCACTGCCTGATGACTGAACTGACCTCCAGGCTTGCCCCTGGTGACCCTTGTGGTTGGTTGGTTTGTTTGTTTGAGACGGAGTCTTACTCTGTCATCCAGGCTGGAGTGCAGTGGTATGATCTTGGCTCACTGCAACCTCCACCTCCTGGGTTCAAGCAATTCTCCTGCCTCAGCCTCCCGAGCAGGTGGGACTACAGGCACACACCACCACACCCAGCTAATTTTTACACTTTTAGTTGAGATGTGGTTTCACCATGTTGACCAGGACAGTCTCAATCTCTTGATTCATGATCCGCTTGCCTCAGCCTCTCAAAGTGCTGGGATTACAGGCATGAGCCACCGCGCCCAGCCTGTCCCCTGTGTTATTTCTGCTGAAACATACAGTCCCAGACCAGGCTGCACAGTATCCTCAGGGTTTAAGGACAATGGGAAGTCCCATCATCACCCATCTCTAGGATGTTCTTAGACAGGGAAGCCACAGAGAAAACACACCTAATGGGGCAAAGTAGGACTGTGAAGGTGGAAGAGACCCAGCACCTGCACGTTCCAGGTGAGGTCCACAGTTGTCAGCCAGTCAGGGAAGAACCAGAAGTGCCAGGGGCTATTACTCCCAGTCCTGTGTCTGTCCATGACCCAGCACTGCTGCTCAGTTTACATTTGAGAAAGTCTATGCTTCTCCCACACAGCAGGAGGCCTCACAGTCTCTAAGCCCTTTCTTGGGTCATCTTGATGACCCTTTCTGCTTCCCACTCTGTGAAGCCCCTCCCATGACATGGGGCTTTCTGGGGCTGAGAGAGCCCCATCCCCACATTCTAGGTTGGACCTTAGGTCAGCTGTGAGAAATCAGAAAAACAAAGGGAAAAGAGTCTGCAGAGATAAATTGGGAGGGTTCAGGGAAGAATTTGGGCTTACTTATGCCCATTGGATCATCATACATCTGTCTTGTGACACACACTTGCCATGGGCTTTTAAGGACTTCAGTTGGCTGAGAGGTGAAGAGATGCCAACTCTGAAAAATGTTTGGCTGGGAGCAGTGGCTTGCGCCTATAATCCCAGCACTTTGGGAGACCAAGGCAGATGGATTGCCTGAGCTCAGGAGTTTGAGACCAGCCTGGGCAACATGGTAAAACCCCGTCTCTACTAAAATACAAAAAATTAGCCAGGCGTGGCGGCATGTGCCTGTAATCCCAGCTACTTGGGAGGCTGAGGCAGGAGAATCGCTTGAACCCAGGAGGCGGAGGTTGCAGTGAGCCAAGATCGTGCCACTGCACTCCAGCCCGGGTGACAAAGCGAGACTCCATCTCCAAAAAAAGAAAGAAAGGAAGAAAGAAAAATGCCTGTGGAGTAATCACAGGTGCCACACAGGGCAATCTTCTCTCTGTTATCTGCACAGCGGAGTTGTCTAAGCCCTACATCAACAGCAACAACTCCAACCCTGTGGAGGACGAGGATGCTGTGGTCTTAACCTGTGAAACTGAGGCTCAGAACACAACCTACCTGTGGTGGGTGAACAATCAGAGCGTCCCGGTCAGTCCCAGGCTGTTGCTCTCCAGTGACAACAGGACCCTCACTCTACTCAACGTCACAAGGAATGACACAGGACCCTATGAGTGTGAAATACAGAACCCAGTGAGTGTGAACCGCAGTGACCCAGTCACCCTGAATGTCACCTGTGAGTATCTTCTATTCCTCTGTGACCCAGGCTGCCAGCCCAAATCCACAAGGCCAGAGGCCAGGACTCTCAGTCCCTCTCAGGTCCAAGGACGCAGACCCTTAACCCCGGACACTCAGGCTGGCCATGACTTCCTGCCCCAAGCAAACCTGGGCAGCCCCAGCCTGAACCAAGAATAGGTGGGGAGGGGCTGCTCCTGTCCTGGGAGGCTCAGGGTCCATAGCCTGTGATGGGAGAAACAGCTAAATGTCTCAGACTCAGACTCAGTGGACACAGTGGAAGTTTGGTTGTGACTTGGTAGAGAGAGACACTGTGGCCATCCTCCAGACCAGGAGCCTCCCCTTCCCTCTGATGACATCACCTGTGGCTTTATTCTCTTTGCTCCAGATGGCCCGGACACCCCCACCATTTCCCCTTCAAAAACCTCTTACTATTCAGGGGCAAATCTCAGCCTCTTCTGCGATGCAGCCTCTAACCCACCTGCAGAGTACTCTTGGCTTATCAATGGAACACCATGCCAGATAAACACCCAAGAGCTCTTTATCTCCAACATCACTGTGAATCGTAGTGGATCCTATGCCTGCGTCGCCCTTAACCCAGTCACTGGCCGCAACAGGACCACAGTCAAGACAATCACAGTCTCTAGTAAGTGCTCCCTGGAGCATCAACACTAAGCTCTGAAGTATAAGCTCTCTGGTTTTCAAATAGGACCAAAGAAGAAATTTTCTTTTCTAGCCTGTATCCAATGGGCACAAGCAAGTCCAAATTCTTCCCTGAACCCTCCCAATTCATCTCTGCAGAATCTCTTCCCTTTGTTTTTCTGATTTCTCACAGCCGACCTAAGGTCCAACCTAGAATGTGGGGATGGGGTTCTCTCAGCCCCAGAAAGCCCCATGTCATGGGAGGGGCTTCACAGAGTAGGAAGCAGAAAGGGTCATCAAGATCAAGTTGCTTCTGTCACTAACATGTCCCTTTCTGTAACTTCTTGACCTTCTTTTACCTACTCCATGTGATACAAGGAATATGTGAGGTTTTGAAATAGGGTCACATTAATTTTCCCTAAATGAGAGAAGGAAATGCCCTTCATCATGAGCAGCTCAGACTCTGCTCCCTGCTCTGCTCTCAGCTTGCCTGGTAACTGGCTCTGCCCTGACTCCATCTGGGGTAGGACACAGGTGTGTGGGGAAGGTATCCAGGTGGCCTGTTGTGAATCTGGCTAAATCAAGATGGCAGTCAATGGCTGGGCATGGTGGCTCACAGCACTTTGGGAGGCCAAGGTGGGAGGATCACCTGAGGTCAGGAGTTCAAGACCAGCCTGACCAACATCCAACATGGTAAAACTCCATCTCTACTAAAAATACAAAAAACAAACTAGCCAGGCGTGGTTGCACATGCCTATAATCCCAGCCACTCGAGAGGCTGAGGCACAAGAATCGCTTGAACCCGGGAGGCAGGGGTTGCAGACAGCCAAGATTGCGCCACTGCACTCCAGCCTGGGCAACAGAGAGAGACTCTGTCTCAAAAAAAAAAAAAAAAAAACCACTATGGCAGTCAACACCAAAGCTTCCCCTGGGTCATGCTGCAAGGAAATGGGAAGAGAGGGAGCCTCAGGGTCCCTGAACTTGTCCTGGCTCTGAAGTCATCAGCTATATGAGGCTGCGGGCACAGCACATGTAGTAGCACAGAGTACAACGAGTGATACACATTTGGAAAAATCAGGAGATTCAGCCACAGGGGTTCCGCATGGGAGAAAATGGGCAGTGCCAAATGGTGTGTATTTGTAGAGAAAGTAAGAATATCAATCTTCTGTAAACACTGTGACTACTCTCTAGGAATCTCCTTCACTGTGATATTCTATCCACAGACCAGGAAGTAAAACTCCTCTTTAGAGTGAGAAATCCTTTGGGTTGGAACTTGTCCAGATACTAAGGTCATGAAGACTGACTGGGCCACTTCGTTCCCTAAAAAATTATTTAATGAAAAAAAAAAAAAAAAAAAAACTACCTTCCCTTTTGTATGTAAGGGTTACAGTCATAGGAAGAATGCCTGATCACAGAAAGCTCTAGGAAAGGGTCACACAAAAGTCACTGGGAAAAACGTTCTACCTGATGATGAGGCTGCTGGACCCGTGGGCTGAGAAGAGGATTCCAAGTGGGGATACAGAGATATGCAAGGGGTCACTCTGAGATGATCTGGGGTCAGAAGGGAGGTGCAGCCCTCTCCTTACAGATCATCACCTGAACAAAGATACTTGACCTTCTGCAGAGGGTCAGGGCCATCCCCTGGTTGGTCACCTTTGCACGGCTCACCGTGTGACCTGAGAGCTGGCTAAGATCTCAGGGAAAGGAGCGTAGCCCCCAGGCCCCAAGCCCCATGCCCATTCTCAGTAGATTCTCTCCTCTATTTGTCCACAGAACTAAATCAAGTGGCACGGCCTGAAGTTCAAGCCACCAGCACTACAGTCACAGAAGACAAGGACTCTGTGAGCCTGACCTGCTTCACAAATGACACTGAAATCTCCATCAAGTGGTTCTTTAATAACCAGAGTATCTTATCCTCAGAGAGGATAAAGCTATTCCAGGACAACAGAACCCTCAGAATAGATCCTGTCAAGAGGCAGGATGCTGGGCAGTATTATTGTGAGGTCTCCAACCCAATCAGTGTCAACCAAAGTGACCCTATAATGCTGACCGTGAAATGTAAGTGACTCCTCGCCCCTTCCTATATGTCCCTGGAGGATTACTCTGCCAATGGTGGGCAAAATATATAAAACTTGGCCGGGCACGTGGCTCATGCCAGTAATCCCAGCACTTTGGCAGGCCAAGGTGGGCTAATCACGAGGTCAGGAGTTAGAGACCAGCCTGGCCAACATGGGGAAAACCCATCTCTACTAAAAATACAAAAATTAGCCAGGCACAGTAGTGAGTGCCTATTATCCCAGCTACTTGGGAGGCTGAGACAGGAGAATTGCTTGAACCCAGGAGACCGAGGTTGCCATGAGCCAAGATCCCGCCACTGCACTCCAGCCTGGGCGAAAGAGCGAAACTGTCTCGAAAAAAAAAAAAAAGATAAAACTCACAGCGGGCAGAATATCAATTAAGAGACCATTATAGTAAACAGAATTGCAAAGTGGTTAAGAGCTCAGGCTCTGAATCAAATACACTTAGTTGTTTTTTTATTTTTTTATGTTTTTATTTTTTTGGTTGGTTGGGTTTTTTTGTTTTGTTTTTTTGAGACAGGGTCTCACTCTGTCACCCAGGCTGGAGTGCTATGGCATGATCAAAGCTCACTCCAGCCTTGATCCCTTGGGCTCAAGCAATCCTGCCACCTCCGCCTCCAGAGTAGTTGGGACTACAGGCGTACACCACCATGCCTGGCTAATTTTTTTCAATTGTTTCGTAGAGATGAGGTTTCGCTGTGTTGCCCAGACTGGTCTCAATTTCCTGCTCTCAGCCTCGGTCTTCCAAAGTGCTAGGATTACAGAAATGAGCCACTGTGCCCAGCCTGTATTTAACTATTCTAAGTACCTCTCATACAGATGGAAGCATGTAGTCTTTGTCCCTTTGTGTCTGGCTTACTTCATTTAGCATAAAGTCTTCAAGATCCATCCATGATATAGAATGCATCAGAATTTCATTCCTTTTGGAGACTGAATAATATTACACTGTGTAGATAGATATATCATATTTTGCTTATCCATTCATCCATCTATGGACAGTTAGATTGCTTCCACCTTTTGGCTATTATGAATAATGCTATTACAAATAAGTATACAAACATCTAGTAAAACCCCTGCTTTCAATTCTTTTGAATAGATATTCGGAATTGGACTTGCTGGATCAAATGGCAATCCTGTTTAATTTTGAAGAACCATCATACCACTTTCCACAGTGGCTATACCATTTCACATTCCCACCAACAGTGTACTAGGAGTTCCAATTTCTCTACATCTTCAAAAGCATTTGTATTTTTGTTTTGTTTTGTTTTTTACAATAGCCATCCTAACGGTTGTAAGGTGGTATATCACCAGAGTTTTGATTTGCATTTCCCTAATGATTAGCAATATTTAGCATCCTTTCATGTGCTTATTGGCCATTTATCTTCTTTGGAGAAATGTTTATTCAAGTCCTTTGCCCATGTTTTAATTGGGTTGTTTGGGGATTTTTTGTTGTTGTTGAGTTGCAGTAGTTCTTTATACATTTTGGATAGTAATCCCTTATCATATATATGATTCTCAAATATTTTCTCCCATTCTATAAGAGGTCTTTTTACTTTTGTGATAATGTGCTTTGATGCACAAAAAATTTTCATAAAGTCCAATTTCTCTATTTCTTCTTTTGTTGCCTAAGATTTTGGTGTCATAGCAAAGAAATCATTGCCAAATCCAATGTTACAAAGTTTTCACTCTATCTTCCAAGAACTTTATAGTTTTAGCTCTTACATTTAGGTCTTTGATGTATTTTGAATTAATTTTTATAAATGGTATTATGTAAAGGTTCAATTTCATTCTTTTGCATGGATATTCAGTTTCCTCAATGCCATTTGTTGAAAAGACTATCCTTTTCCCATTGAATGATCTTGGCACCCTTGTCAAAAACCATTTGGCAATATATGCAAGCGTTTCTTTCTGGGCTCTGTATTTTATTCCATTGGTTTCTATTTCTTTATGCCAGTATAATATTGTTTTGATTATTGTAGCTTTTTGTTTGTTTGTTTGTTTGTTTTTTGCTGTTGTTGTTGCTGTTGTTTGGGGATTTGGGGGATTTTTGTTTGTTTGTTTTTCTCACTTTTCTTTGTAGGGATAGGGTTTCATCATGCTGCCTAGGCTGGTCTGGAACTCCTGAGCTCAAGCTATCTGCCCACCTCTGCCTCCCAAAGTACTAAGATTACAAGCGTGATGATCACCATAGCTTTATAGAAAATTTTGAAACCAGGAAGTGTGAGCCCTTCAACTTTGTTCTTTTTCAAGACTGCTTTGGCTATTCATGGTCCCTTCAGAGTCTATATAAATTTTAGAATGAATTTTTCTATTTCTGCAAAAAAATATTACTGGGATTTTGATAGGGATTGCACTGAATCTGTAGATCACTGGGTAGCACTGACACTGAAATCTCTTAACAATATTAAGTCTTCTAATCTATGAAAATGGAGTGTCTTTTCCATTTATTTATGTCTTATTTAATTTTTTGGCATTTTTTTTCTTAATTTTCCTCTGAATTGTTCATTGTTAGTATAAAAAAATACAACTGATTTTTGCATGTTGATTTTATATCCTGCCACTTTGCTGAATTTATTGTCTAACAGCTTTTGTGGAATCTTTAGGGTTTTCTACATATGAGTTAGCGTATTCTACAAACAGATATAATTTTACTTCTTTCCAATCTAGATGGGTTTCTTTTCTTGCCTAATTGTTCTGGCTAGGAATTCTAATACTATGTTGAATAGAAGTGGCAAAAGCAGGCATCCTCGTCTTGTTCTTGATCTTAAAGGAAAAGTTTTCAGTCTTTCACCATTGAGTGTGATGGTAGCTGGGGGCCTTTCATATGTAGCATTTATTATGTTGAGAATTTCCTTCTGTTCCCAGTTACAGTGTTTTTTTAGCATGAAAGAATGTTGAATTTTGTCAAATGCTTTTACCAATTCATTTTCATTACTGGTTATAGGTCTATTCAGATTTTCTATTTATTCATGATTCTATCATGGCAGGTTTTGTGTTTCTAGGAATTTGTTCATTTCATCCAGGTTATCCAATTTGTTGGCATACAATTACTCATAGTACTCTTATAATCCTTATTATTTCTATAGAATTAGTAGTAATATTTTCACTTTCATTTCTGATTTTAATAATTTGAATCTTCTTTCTTTCTTAGTCAGTCTAGTTAAAGGTTGTCAATTATAGTGGTCTTTTTTAAAGAACAACTTTTTTTTTGTTTGAGACAGGCTCTTACTCTGTCACCAGGGCTGATCATGGCTCACCACAGCCTTAACCTGCCAGGTTCAAGCTATCCTCCTGCCTCAGCCTCCTGGGTAGCTGAAACCACAGACACGTGCCACCACCCCCAGCTAATTTTTGTAAATTTTTTGTAGAGACAGGGTTTCATCATCTTGCCCAGCTGGTCTGAAATTCCTGAGCTCAAGTGATGCATCTGCCTTGGCCTTCCAAATTGCTGGGATTACAATCATGTGCCACTGTACATGGCCTACAGTTATAAATTTCTTTCTTGCACAAGATTCTTAACTACTCTGAGCCTCGGATTCCTCAACCAAAAATTGCACTAGGAATGCCTGCTTCATAGTATTGGGGGGTTTTGGGTTTTTGCTTTGTTTTTGAGACAGGGTCTCACTCTGTCACCCAAACTGGAATGCAGTGGTGCAAACACAGCTCACTGCAGCCTCAATCTCCTAGGCTCAAGCAATTCCCCCACCTTAGCCACCTAAGTAATACATGCTACCACACCTGGCTAATTTATTTTTATTTTTGCTTTCGGAGAGATAGAATCTCACCATATTATCCAGGCTAGACTCCAACTCCTAGGATCAAGCAATCTTCTCATCTCAGTCTCCCAAAGTGCTGGGATTACAGGTGTGAGCCACCACACCTGGCCCCATAGTATTGTTTTAAAAATTTAATTGTAAAAATAAACCTTCAGCAAAATACCACACAACCACACACAGAGGGAATGTTTCATAAATGTTAGCTGCTATCACCACTACTATTATCGTTAGCCTTCAGATCAGGTAGTCCTAGAGTCAAATCTCAGATCCACCTCTCATTAGCCATCTGACTTTAGGTAAGGTTTTTACCACTCTAAGCTTCCATTTTTTCATGCTTAAAATGGAAATAATGTCTACCTGACAGCACTATTTTATGGATCAAATGAGATACATGTAAAACATTTAGCAGTACAGGACCTGGCACACAGGAAATACCCCACAAAAATAGCTAACATAGCATTAATCACCAGCCTGAGTTGACTGGTAAGGGCTAAGCCCCAAATGGTTACAATAGATATAAAGAAGAAATAGGCTGGACACAGTGGCTCACACCTGTAATCCCAACACTTGGGAGGCTGAGGCTGGAGGATCTCTTGAGTGCAGGAGTCCAAGACCAGCCTGGGAAATATAGTGGAACCCTATCTCTACAAAAATTATTTTTGAAAATTAACCAGGTGGCTGGGCGCCATGGCTCATGCCTATAATCCCAGCACTTTGGGAGGCCAAGGCAGACGGATCACCTGAGGTCGGGAGTTCGAGAAAAGCGTGACCAACATGTGGAAACCCCACCTCTACTAAAAGTACAAAATTAGCCACACGTGGTGGCACAGGCCTGTANTCACTGCAACCTCTGCCTCCCGGGTTCAAGCAATTCTCCTGCCTCAGCCTCCTGAGTAGCTGGTATTACAGGCGCACACCACCATGCCAGCTAATTTTTTGTATTTTTAGTAGAGACGGGGTTTCTCCATGTTAGCCAGCATCGTCTCGATCTCCGGACCTTATGACCCGCCCACCTCGGCCTCCCAAAGTGCTGGGATTACAGGCATGAGCCACCACACCCGGCCCAAGAATGTTGAATTTTGTCAAATGCTTTTACCAATTCATTTTCATTACTGGTTATAGGTCTATTCAGATTTTCTATTTATTCATCATTCTATCATGGCAGGTTTTGTGTTTCTAGGAATTTGTTCATTTCATCCAGGTTATCCAATTTGTTGGCATACAATTACTCATAGTACTCTTATAATCCTTATTATTTCTATAGAATTAGTAGTAATATTTTCACTTTCATTTCTGATTTTAATAATTTGAATCTTCTTTCTTTCTTAGTCAGTCTAGTTAAAGGTTGTCAATTATAGTGGTCTTTTTTAAAGAACAACTTTTTTTTTGTTTGAGACAGGCTCTTACTCTGTCACCAGGGCTGATCATGGCTCACCACAGCCTTAACCTGCCAGGTTCAAGCTATCCTCCTGCCTCAGCCTCCTGGGTAGCTGAAACCACAGACACGTGCCACCACCCCCAGCTAATTTTTGTAAATTTTTTGTAGAGACAGGGTTTCATCATCTTGCCCAGCTGGTCTGAAATTCCTGAGCTCAAGTGATGCATCTGCCTTGGCCTTCCAAATTGCTGGGATTACAATCATGTGCCACTGTACATGGCCTACAGTTATAAATTTCTTTCTTGCACAAGATTCTTAACTACTCTGAGCCTCGGATTCCTCAACCAAAAATTGCACTAGGAATGCCTGCTTCATAGTATTGGGGGGTTTTGGGTTTTTGCTTTGTTTTTGAGACAGGGTCTCACTCTGTCACCCAAACTGGAATGCAGTGGTGCAAACACAGCTCACTGCAGCCTCAATCTCCTAGGCTCAAGCAATTCCCCCACCTTAGCCACCTAAGTAATACATGCTACCACACCTGGCTAATTTATTTTTATTTTTGCTTTCGGAGAGATAGAATCTCACCATATTATCCAGGCTAGACTCCAACTCCTAGGATCAAGCAATCTTCTCATCTCAGTCTCCCAAAGTGCTGGGATTACAGGTGTGAGCCACCACACCTGGCCCCATAGTATTGTTTTAAAAATTTAATTGTAAAAATAAACCTTCAGCAAAATACCACACAACCACACACAGAGGGAATGTTTCATAAATGTTAGCTGCTATCACCACTACTATTATCGTTAGCCTTCAGATCAGGTAGTCCTAGAGTCAAATCTCAGATCCACCTCTCATTAGCCATCTGACTTTAGGTAAGGTTTTTACCACTCTAAGCTTCCATTTTTTCATGCTTAAAATGGAAATAATGTCTACCTGACAGCACTATTTTATGGATCAAATGAGATACATGTAAAACATTTAGCAGTACAGGACCTGGCACACAGGAAATACCCCACAAAAATAGCTAACATAGCATTAATCACCAGCCTGAGTTGACTGGTAAGGGCTAAGCCCCAAATGGTTACAATAGATATAAAGAAGAAATAGGCTGGACACAGTGGCTCACACCTGTAATCCCAACACTTGGGAGGCTGAGGCTGGAGGATCTCTTGAGTGCAGGAGTCCAAGACCAGCCTGGGAAATATAGTGGAAGCCTATCTCTACAAAAATTATTTTTGAAAATTAACCAGGTGGCTGGGCGCCATGGCTCATGCCTATAATCCCAGCACTTTGGGAGGCCAAGGCAGACGGATCACCTGAGGTCGGGAGTTCGAGAAAAGCCTGACCAACATGTGGAAACCCCACCTCTACTAAAAGTACAAAATTAGCCACACGTGGTGGCACAGGCCTGTAATCCAAGCTACTTGGGAGGCTGGGGCAGAAGAATCACTTAAACTTGGGAGGCAGAGGTTGTGGTGAGCCGAGATCGTGCCATTGCACTCCAGCCTGGGCAACAAGAGTGAAACTCTGTCTCAAAAAAAAAAATTAGCCAGGTGTGGTGGCATGTGCCTGTAGTCCCAGCTACTGAGGAGACTGAGGTAGGAGGATCACTGATCCCAAGAGACTACAATGAGCCATGAGTGTGCCACTGGACTCCAGCCTTGGTGACAAAGTGAGAACCTGCCTCAAAAAAAAAAGAAGGAGAAATAGGTGCAAAATATATTATTTATATATTTATTATATAAATTTGTATATTTTTATGTATTTATTTTTTATTATGTTATTCGTATATTTATTATACATAAATAATATATAATAAATACATAAATAATAATATATACATATGGGGGAGACACATTGTACAAGAAACCCACCAGTACATTATTATGATTAAATATGGGAAAGGGGAGAAAAGGGGAGTTAAAGCAAAGTCTCAAGCCTGGTACGTTATTTCCATCCACTGAGATACAGCAAAGATAGGATTAAACATATGAGATAATTTATTGGGGGAAATGCCTATTAGGGAAGTGAGGTGAGAGTGAGAGGAACCTGAGAGAGCCCTCAGATCATGATGCAGATCTGATTCCTATGGAAGAGAAAGAGACAAAGGAAGTTTTAGATTGCAGTGCAGTTCTAAGAGTTTCTGCAAGGTTGACAGGGAGTCCTCCAGCCATTCACACTTCAGAGTAAAACAGTCACACAGAACTGGGCTTGCTTTCATACCCTTGCTGGGAGCCTGTGGGAAGCAAGGTGCCTATGCAAAAGAGGTGCTGAATTCAGAATGCACTGACTGCCACAACTGAGACACTGAGAAAAAGATGCAATCACAAAAAAAAGGTGGAAAGTTCTAGTCACATACAAAATAGCAATCAGCCTTTCTCACATTTCAAAATCTTCAAAAATGTCTGAGCACAGAAAGGCCAGAATGGAATTGACAGAAGACTGATCATCAACCTAGAAACATGGTTGACAGAAAAACAAAAAAAATTGCAAGGATATACTTAGCTAATCATCTTCCAGCAACCCTCCTACAACAAAACTGTATTCCTTGAAGGAACTGTATTAGACTTCATTCTGAGAATTGTTTCCAGCCCCCAATGTAAAATAATTTCACCTTCATTTCTTCTCCTCTTTTCTTTCCATGACAGATATGGAAAGTTCTGGCCTCTCACGGGGGGCCATTGCTGGCATTGTGATTGGAGTACTGGCCGGGATGGCTCTGATAGCAGCCCTGGTGGTGTATTTTCTGCATTCCAGGAAGACCGGCAGGTATGATGGCCTTTCCTCTTGTTCTGTTTCCTCCAAGGCTGACTGCCATGCTTGGGAGAGGAAAAGAACTTCTTTGCCTGTCTCTGGGCCTGGATCTCCTCCTCCCACTAAACTCCTGCTTCTCGGCACTAATTCCTGCAGGTCTCCTCTTCCCTGGTCTTCAAGCTCCCTGTCTCCCATTGTCTCTTGAACATGGTTATTCCAATCCCCATCTAATCTAGAGGAAGAGACTCAATTATGTTCCTCTGTCCCCCAGTCACGGAAACCAAGGTCTAAGAAGGAATACAAATGAAAACATAAAAGAAGCAGCAGGAGAAAGCAAGTCACGTGCACAGTAGCAAGAGGAGGGAGAGATAGGATAGGAAGAGAACCGGAGAGAGAGCAAAAGCAACCACAGTCCTCTTGAACAATAAATAGGAAAAATAAGTACCCCAGAAAACAAAATGGGAAAGGTCTTAAGGGTACAAGTAGACAGAGAAGCAGCTGATAAAGAATGGAATGAAATGTGAACATCTAGCAAACAGGAAAAGAGGAGACACTAGAAGGGATTGCAGTTAGACTGAAGAACGAGGCGCTCAGAAGAAAGGCAGTATCAACATCAAGGACCCCAAGGAATGACCTGCTCACAGTGCCCTTCCTAACTCAGGGAACAAAGATCCTATGCTTGGGAATAGCAGTCACAGTGTCTGATATTTATTTAGGGCAAGCGACCAGCGTGATCTCACAGAGCACAAACTCTCAGACTCCAACCACAGTAAGTAAAGCCACTTATCCAGTGAGAACTGGTATGTTCCACCACATGCCCTCCCCGGCAGGGAATCCTGGATTCCCAAACCACTCCCTCCCTTCTGAAGTTTCACGAAAGGATGTCTATTTCCCACCCCTAAGGTGGCATAGGTCTTCACACCCTTTCTAGCCACAAGAGTCCCCTGAGACACATCTGAGGAGAGAAGCTCACTCTGCCTAGGCCAGGCAGGCCTGAGGAAGAACCCATGTTTCCAGGAGCCATTTCCTCAGCCTTACTCCTTCCGCCTCCTGCCTCTATTACGGATGTGGGCATTCTCCCTTGGTGAGACTTTCCTTGTCTTGTGGGTGCTGTGGGTGCTGCAAGCCTCAATGCCCCTCCTTGCCATTGGAGCATGTTGCTGAGAAACACGTCTGGGCAAAAATCAAGGCCTTGTGAACTGGTAGAACTCTTCAGAAGTGGATTGTGGCCTCCTGTGGCTCTGCCCCTGCCCCCTCCTCTGGAACTAATGTGCTGGGTCTGGACCAGACACTCTGAGGGAAGTAAATTCCTTAACTGATCATGGGCTACCTCCCTACCCTCCAACTGCCACCTCCTTCAGCTAGAATCACCTTAGGTCAGCTTTGCATTTCCTTGGATTGATAATTCTTCTTTTGCTTCTCCAGCTCAGGACCACTCTGACAACTCTCCTAACAAGGTAAGCACAGCCAGTTTTCCTGGGGTTATTTTCTCATGGAAATGACTCTGTATAGAATTGGTTATTCCTGAAAACACAATGTAACATCAAGTTTGGGTTAATGTTCCTCAGCGCAGCAACAAAGACGTATTTGCAATCACTCCCATTCACAGCAAGAATGTGCATTTTGGAATTATCTCCATCCTGTGTCCGAATACTGGATGTAACTCTTAGCAGCTCTGTGACCCTGGTCAAGTAACCTAATCTCTTTGATCCTCAGCTTTGTCATCTGTAAAATGGGCATTCTGCCTACTTCAAAGAGAAGTCGAAGGTATTAAACGAGATAACCTACATAGAGCACCCAGCACATTGGCCTAAAAAAGGAAGGCACTTAATCATTCTCACTCTCCTACCTGCAGTCTGATCCTGCTCTTACTGTCAAAAGGATAATTTCCATTTTAATAGATCTGAGATCCTGTTTATTTTATAATAATTTTATAGAATTTTCCATTTTACCTTTACAGTAGAGCAAACACACATACTGAAAAGTGCTAAATCATAATTATACTTTTACAATGTAGAAACTTTCACGAGTTGAACACACTGAGGTAAGCAGCACCCAAATCATGAAATACTACATGACCTCCCCTTAAAAAGAAACCCTTCCAGCCAGGCGCAGTGGCTAACACTTTGGGAGGCCAAGGTGGTCAGATCACTTGAGGTCAGGAGTTCGAAACAAGCCTGGCCAACATGGGAAACTTCGTCTCTACTAAAAATATAAAAAATTAGCCAGGCGTGGTGATGGACACCTGTAATCCCAGTTACTTGAAAGGCTGAGACAGGAGAATCGCTTGAACCTGGGAGGTGTGGGGTGCAATAAGCCGAGATCCTGCCATTGCACTCCAGCCTGGGTGACAGAAAGACACTCCGTCTCAAAAAAAAAAAGAAAAGAAAAGAAAAAAAGAAACTCTTCCAGTCACTTCCCTCCAAAGAGTAACCACTATACTGACTTCTAATGCTCCAGATTAGTTTTGCTTGGTTTTGTTCCTACATAAAGGAAAAATACAACATCCTTATATGTAGCTTCCTTCCATCAACACTGTTTTGTGAGATTCATCCATATTGTTGTATGTATTTGTGGTCTGCTTGTTCTCATTGCTGCATTATCATATTCCATTGCATATATACCATCATTTATCTCTTCTAATGATCATTCATCAGGAGGTCAGCAGGCAGAGAACGGATAACAACAAAAGCCCTTCTCCAGAGCTAAAATTTCAAAATGGTAACAGCTTGTGGTGCTGAATCACACCAGGCAAGGTGAGGCCCTGCCCTGTGACACTGACTTAACTGATCATTACTTGTGCTTTTCAGATGAATGAAGTTACTTACTCTTCCCTGAACTTCACAGCCCAGCAACCCGGACAACCAACGTCAGCCTCCTCATCCCCAACAATCACAGACACAATTTATTCAGAAGTAAAAAAGAAGTAATGCAACCTGTCCAGCTCACTGCATGCTGATGTATTCCAAGTCTCTTACCCTCAGCACTAGAAGATTCCCTTCCCCTCTGGGAGTGGTGGGGAGGTTGGGGACAGAAAGAAGTTTCCCCAACTCTTCCTTCCTAATAGGCACTCTAGGCTGCCTGGTCACAGCCCCTCCCTCAGTGTCGATAGATGAAAAGGTACATTGGGAGTCTGTAGGAAACCCAACCTTCTTGTCATTGAAATTTGGCAAAGCTGACTTTGGTAAAGAGTGGCCAGAACTTCCCCTGCCTTCCCCTTTTCCAAACCTGGACTTGTTTTAAACTTACCTATTCAGAGCACTCATTCCTTCCCACCCCAGTCCTGTCCTATCACTGTAATTCGGGTTTGCCATAGCTTTGAGGTTACATCCTTTTCCATGAAGTACATGTGCCAGAAAACAAGAAAGAGAAAGTAAAAGCAGTAATGGCTTCTCCTATTTCTCCAAAGCCCTGTGTGAACTCACCAAACATAAGAAAACCAAATATGTAACAACAGTGAAATTCCACACCTTTGTCCACTGTCAGGGTTTCTACCTGCAGGATCAGGGTCTAAGCACCTTGCTGCTTAGCTAGAATGCCACCTAATCCTTCTGGCAAGCCTGTCTTCTGGGAATCCACTAGAAGCAACTAGGAAAACCACTTGCCAAACTCCAAGGCAATTCCTGATGGAAAATGCAAAAGCACAGATATGTTTTATTATCTTTATGGGCTTTATTCAAGGAAGTGCTGAGAGAGGGAGGAGTTATAGCTCTAGGAGGGAACCAGCTTCTGATAAACACAATCTGCTAGGAACTTGGGAAAGGAATCAGAGACCTGCCCTTCAGAGATTCTTTAAATTACTGTTAAAGAATACACAATTTGGGGTATTGGGGTTTTTCTCCTTTTCTCTGAGACATTCCACTATTTTAATTTTATAAGTGTTTATTTATGTGAAAAGGATTATTTTTACTTAGCTTAGCTATGTAGGCCAATCTGATTGCCTTAGGTGAAAGAAGCTACCAAAATCCCTCAGGTCCCTTGGTCAGGAGCTTCTCAAGGTTTTTTGTCAGAAGCTCCAAATGGAAAATAAGAAGAGGTTTTCCTCATTCATAACTAGAACTAGATTTAACTCAGTTTCTAGGCACCTCAGACCAATCATCAACTCCCATTCTATTCCATGTTTGCACCTGTGCATTTTCTGTCTGCCTCCACTCACTTTCTCAGGAAACCTTGGACTCTGCTAAGGTGTATTTGGTCCTTGAGAAGTGGGAGCACCCTACAGGGACACTATCACTCATGCTGGTGGCATTGTTTACAACTAGAAAGCTGCACTGCTGCTGATGCCCCTTGGGGGAACGGGGCTGTGAGGAGGAGGTTTATAACTTGAGGCTAGCCTTTTTTAACAGCCTTTGAAATTTATTTTCTCCTATGAAGTCTATAAATGTATCTTATAATAAAAAGGAAGGATAGGAGGAAGACAGGCAAATGTACTTCTCACCCAGTCTTCTACACAGATGGAATGTCTTTGGGGCTAAGAGAAAGGTTTTATTGTATATTGCCTACCTGATCTCATGTTAGGCCTAAGAGACTTTTTCAAAGAGCATTGGCTCAGAGTTCTCTATACTCAGGTACCTCTTTCGGGGTTTTCTAACCCTGACACGGACTGTGCATACTTTCCCTTATCCATGCTATGCTGTTATTTAATTTTGCCTGGCTAAGACTATGTCTGAATTATATATAAAAATTGTTCTATGTTTATAATAAAAATAATATATCAGACATCAACATGCTGCCTCATGGTTGATACTACCTTAGACAATGTTTCTCTACAGGCAGAAAAAAACAAAATTGTTCAATGGGGAGTCAGAGTAAAACTATTTCTAAGTCTACAGATATTTGTTCTATTTGACCAGAGAATTCGCTAAATTCATTTGCATACCTGCCAACAAAGTGAGTATATCTGGTAACAACAGACCACAGCTCCAATTTGCCTGGAAGGAAGTGCCTACCTTCCTCTGGGAGAGAAGATGATCTCATGAGTAAAAGGCCTCCCAGCCTCTTCATTAGGGGCCAGTAACACTTCCCATTAGGGCGGTTCCAGTGAATCAGATGTAGCTATGCAAGAGTCTCCAAGGTTTATTCACACAGAAATCTCTCTAGACCTTCTGCCTCTTCCTGGTTCCCAGTTCCTTTTTTCTGCCCTCTTGGAGGGTCAGATCTCTTCTAACCTAAATAGCCTTCATTTATTAATTCTGCTAAATATTAAGCTATAACCTCATTTCTTTCACTTCCAAGCAATTGAAATGTATGTGCTGTCTTTCCCTTTCGTCATCACCTAATTTTTCCTGGCCCTCTGCACTGCCTCCATACCCAAGATCACTGGAAACAGCACAAAATCAGTATCCATGTCTTGGTGAAATACAAAGGCATTTTTATAATACTCATACTTTTTCCTTTTACAGTATCTAAGATCACAGACAAATTTTCCCTTCTGGAGAGCTCTCCTCCCTTCATCTCCCGCTTATATGCTGTACCCCCAAACCAGATGTAGTCCTCACACCCTTCTTGTCTCCCTCCATCCACCCTCTTTCATCAGCTTAGTGATGTCTCTGGAGATGGCTCTTAATTTATATCTCTAGCCCCAGCTACGCGTAGAACTCATGACACCCACATCCAAATGCTGTCTGAAGTCATCCATTTAAACAAGCTCTTCCACACAGCTCACTCATTTCTCCCAGTGACACCCCCTAAGTATCCACAGCCCCTGCTCATTTGTTTCCAGATTCAATACATTGTAAAAGCCTCTTGTTCTTTTTTTAACAACTCTCAATTATGCTGTTCTCACCATTCCCATAAACCTAACTGACCCAGGCCCTCAACAACACTCAAAGTCTTGGTTGACTTCCTGCCTCCAGTCTCTCTGAAATCTTTCTTGCATATGACTGCCTTATTACCTTCCTAAAAACGAGTCCACTCTCCTATTCAAAAATCTACAGTGGCTTACTCTGGCCTATTAGATAAGTTCAAACTTCTTCTAAAGAGACGTGTCTTCCTTCCTTTATCAATACTTCCTTGTATAATTCTGCAATCCTAATTAGATCTGTCTCCCTATATATCCCTGCCCCTCCACCCCACACACATAGAATTCTTAGTTCCAATTCTACACCTAAATGCATACCAAACAGGGTGATCTCCATCTACCATCTGTACTGTGGAGTTACCGACAACCTTCATCACAAGCAACCTCTGACCTTGTGGAGTACAAAGACTGTAACATTAAACAGTCTGAGAACCTGAGATCCAGGACACAACCTATGTGTGGCTGAAAATCTCTTCCTGATGACCAATTCATGTGTTCACAAAAGATATGGAAATTAAAAATGCAATGTCCCTACCCCAAGGAATATAAAGCCCAAGACATGAGATAAGACCTGAAAAATAATCATAATACCAGAAAAGAAAGATGTAAGTGCCAGAAAAAGTCAGAAAAATCTAATGGGAACTATGGCTACACATTGGAATAACTGGGGAAATTTTTAAAAGAACAACTGATGCTCAGACTCCACCCACAAATGCCAAAATAATTGATCTGGAGAGGGATCCAGACCTTCCCAGTCACTACTAATCTATAGCCAGGATGGAGGTACTAGGTAAGACCTGGGGCTAAATCAATGGATTTTAGCAAAGGGTACACATCATAATTATCTAGGGAACCTTTTCAACATACATAGATGTATATATACCATCCCTGGAAAAGCTGATACGATATGCCTGTAGTGAGACTTGGGCTTGTACATTCTGAAAAACTCTCAAATGATTCTTACATATATTCCCTGTTAGGAAACAGTGACCTGAAGCATAGGTAGTACTGAAATGATAAAAAGAGTTGGAAGAACATTCTATATGATGGGTATTTGATGAATAATCTATCCTGAAAAGCACAGAGAGGTACTCAAGAAGAAATTGTTGGCAAATGGCTGAACTTTAAAAGAACTGACAGGCCAAGTGCAGTGGCTCACCCCTGTAATCCCAGCAGTTTGGGAGGCCAAGGTAGGTGTATCACCAGAGGTCGGGAGTTTGAGACCAGCCTAAGCAACATGGAGAAACCCCATCTCTACTAAAAATACAAAATTAACTGGGTGTGGTGGTACATGCCTATAGTCCCAGTACTCGGGGGCTGTGAAAGGAGAATCGCTTGAACCTGGGAGGCAGAGGTCATGGTGAGCTGCAATCGTGCCATTGCACTCCAGACTGGGCAACAAGAGCAAAACTCTGTCTCAAAGAAAAAAAAAAAAGACTTGACAATACCAAGTAAGGATAGGGAACAACTGGTACTCTCACATATTGGTAAAGGAAATAAAAAATGGCCCACCCACTCTAGAAAGCAGTTGACAGTTTCTTATAAAGTTAAATATACACTTATACAATCCAGCAGTCCTACTCATAGATATTTGCCCAAGAGAAATGAAAATAAATATCCGGCCGGGCGCGGTGGCTCACACCTGTAATCCCAGCACTTTGGGAGGCCAAGGCGGGTGGATCACGAGGTCAAGAGATTGAGACCATCCTGGTCAACATGATGAAACCCCGTCTCTACTAAAAATACAAAAATTAGCTGGGCATCGTGGCGCATGCCTGTAGTCCCAGCTACTTGGGAGGCTGAGGCAGTAGGTTGCAGTGAGCTAAGATCGCTCCATTGCACTCCAGCCTGGGTAACAAGAGCGAAACTCTGTCTCAAAAAAGAAAAAGAAAAAGAAAATACATATCCACACAAAGAGTTATACATGAATAGCTCATAGCAGTATTATTGATAATAGCCAAAAACTAGAAACCCAAATGTCTATCAGTAGATGAATGGATAAACAAATTGTGGAATATTCATGCAATAGTATACTAATCAGCAATCAAAGGGTACAAACTACTGATAAAACCAAATGGATGGGCCAGTGCCATGGCCCATACCTGCAATTCTAGCACTTTAGGAGGCCAGGGTGGAAGAATCTGCTTGAGACCAGGAGTTCAAAGCTGCAGTGAGCTATAATCATACTACGGCACTGCAGCCTGCACAACAGAACAAGGCCCTGTCAAAAAAAAGAAAAAGATGAATCTTGAAAACATTATGTTGTGCAAAAGAAGCCAGACACAAAGAAATGCATGCTATGTAATGCCATTTTTCTTTTTCAGATGGGGTCTCACTCTGTCACCTAGGCCTAGTGCAGTGGCATGATCATGGTTCACTGCAGCCTTGACCTCCCAGGCTCAAATGATCCTCCCACCTCAGCCTCCCCAGTAGCTGGGACTACAGGTGCATGCCACCACCACACCCAGCTAATTTTTCATTTTTTGTAGAGAGGAGGTCTCACTATGTTCCCCAGGCTTGTCTTGAACTCCTGGAGGCAAGTGATGTTCCTGCCTCGGCCCTCCCAAAGTGCTAGAATTACAGGCATAAGCCATCATGCCCAGCCTATGTGACGCCATTTAAATGAAGCTCAAGAACAGGCAATTCGAATTAATGATGTTAAGAATTCGCCCTAGAGGGTGGGATTAACGGCAAAGGTGCTCAAGGGAGCTTTGTGGCTGATGGAAATGTTCTACATCTCAATTCTGGTAGTGATTACATGGGTATACACATTTACCAAAAATCAAATTGTACACTTGAGATCTATATACGTTTCAATGTATTTTTATTTTACTTCAGTTTTTAAATATACACTAAGGAAAGGAGCCACTAATTCAATCTATCAGGTACAAAGCACCTGTATTTATGTTATTTTGCTATGCAATAAACCACCACTAATTTAGTGGCTGAAAACAACACTTACTCATTAGTTTGCAGAATCCAGTTCTTTGAAGTCATAGTTTCAGTTCCCTATTGTCCTGTTGCCAGCCAGGAACTACTATTAGCTCTAGAAGACCTTCTCAGGTCCTAGCACTGTGACCTCTTCCGTCTTAGCCACAGCAAACTTCCCTCAAGTCAAATCCCTCTCACACTTCTACTGTCTCTGATTTTCCTTTCTGAGACCAGCCTGAGAAAACTCTCCAATTTTGTTTTAAAAGGCTCATGAGATTACATTAGGTCCACTCAGATCATTCCCCTTCTGATTAATTCAAAATCAACTTAGCTGTAACCTTAATTATGTCTTCAAAATCCTGTTTGCCACACAAGGTAACATAATCATGGGTGTGTCAGCTCATCATATTCATAGCTCCAGATATTAGGAGCCGTCTTAGAATTCTGTGTACCAAGTACACATAAAGCAGTGGGTGCTCTCTGGAAGCCCCTTTACAATCTTGTTCCAAGGAAGTGGCAAAGAAGCCAAAAATGATGAATCCAACTTTTTTTTTTTTTTTTTTTTTTTTTTGAGACAGTCTCACTCTGTCACCCGGGCTGGAGTACAGTGACATGATCTCAGCGCAATGCAATCTCAGTATCCTGGGTTCAAGTGATTCTCATGCCTCAGCCTCCTGAGTAACTGGGATTACAGGTGCGCACTACCCTACTGGGCTAATTTTTTGGTTTTTTTTTTTTTTTTTTTTTTTTTTTTTTTAGTAGAGATGGGGTTTCACCATGTTGGTCAGGCTAGTCTCAAACTCCTGGCCTCAAGTGATCCATCTGCCTATCTTGGCCTCCCAGAATACTGGAATTACAGGTGTGAGGCACTGCGCCTGGCCCCCAACTTTTATTTTTTGAGATAGGATCTCACTATGTTGCCCAGGCTGGAGTGTCGTGGCTCAACCATGGCTCACTGCAGCCTTGACCTCCCAGGCTCAGGCAATTCACAG